TGGTGGTGGTGGTGGTGGTGGTGGTGGTGGGTGGTGGTGGGTGGTGGGTAGTAGTAGTAGTAGTAGTAGTAGTAGTAATGTATTCAGCATTTGCTGAAAGTAAATATTAAGATTTGGCTCTTTCGGACAGCCAATTGGATTTTATATCATAGGCAAGAAATGACATAATTTCGTTGCGATATATAACTTTATTTCTTAGTTTTCCCTTAAAAACATAATAATTTCGTGATTCTGAAATTTGTGAAATATACGGGAAATTGAGATATGATAGATTTGTCTGATCTGTCACATAGAAAAACAATTGTAAAACAATTCCTGAAGTAACTAATTATTTTTCAACCATGCTTATAATCATATTTTCTTAAAAAAAATAAAAGATAAACCTGAAAATTTTAAGACTGTTTCCTCATGCTTGTCACAAACCAATTTGTGACTGTTAAGAGTCATAAGAGTTTGTATACAGTTAAGAGTTTGTATTACAAATTTTTCAGCACATTAAAATGAGATAGTGTGCAGATTTGTGAGTTTGAAATTTATGAGGATTTTCGATTGTATTGGAACAAATCTAAATAATTTTAATAAAATAAAAATAAATATAAAAAATTTTAATGAAAATATTAAAAACATAATAAGGTTAATTAATAAAAAATATACTTTTAATAAAAATAAAAAGTTTTAATGTTATTTTTGTGATGAATGTATAACAAAATAAATTTGTCGGTTTCCTCAAAAATTCGTTCATTAATATGACAATTAGAAAAAAATTTCTCATGATATTGTTAAAATAAAAAATAAAATCAAGTTTTTGGGAAAAAAAATAAATCAAAAGAACAGTTAAAGAATTACCATAAAGAATTTACTTCCTTATAAAGTCATGCTTAGTTGCCATGGCCATTTGATCATAGTTGATCAACCATTAGATTTTGGTTGAAAAATAATCTGTTATTTCAGAAATTATTTTACATTTCTATGTAACAGATCAGACAGATGTCTGACAGTTTATACATTTTACAAGTTTAAGATTCACGAAATTGTTTTTAAGGAAAACTAAAAAAATAAAATTAGGGCTGAGAAAATTATTTTCTAAAAGTAATTCGTTATCGTTACTGATTACCGAATCAAAAAGGTAATTAATTATTATTATGATGTTCGCAAGTGATTCATTATCGTTATTTAAAGAAACGATTTAAAGAAACGATTTATTATTTTTTCCATTACATTTTTAATACTAAAACAAGATCAGATGAAATAAAAAATTAACTTTTCTTACATTTTTTGTTAACATATCAATATAAAAACTTTTTATATTAAATTTACCAAACCACAAAAAATTTAGGTTTTAAAATATTCAAAATGCAAATAGAAAAGATTGTGGCTTTTATTAAATTCATAAATACAGTCAAATCTACACTTTTTTCTATTCTCAATCTTTTATTACAAATTTTTAAAAGACGGTATTTATAAAATCTGTTCTTGTGATTTACGATAAACTATTTTTAAGGCGATTTTAAATATAATAACAAACTATAAATATCGAAGATTGAACATTAAATACAAAGATTATAAATTAGCATAAATTGAAAATATAAAAAGTAATGATAAAAATAATTGTTAAATTCGTTACTGAAAAAATGTAATTACATTACCACTACAGTTACTAAAAAAAAGTAACGTTGTTATCGGTTCGTTACCAAAGAGTAACTGTGACGGTAACGGCATTACAAGTAACACGTTATTCTTTAACCTTGAATAAAATTATATGTCGCAACACGTGTAGTTCAGTGCTTAACGCGTTCGAACTCATAATTAGGCTCAGTGCTTAACGCGTTCGAACTCATAATAAGGAGGTTCAAACTTGGCCCTCGCCTAGGGTTGCCATATTAAAATTTTCAAAATTAGGACTTACAAGCCAAAAACCCTGGACATTTTGATTGCAATCCCGGACAAAAATGCACTTAAATTAATAAAATTGATTAGAACAATAAATGAATTATTATTTCACATCTAATTGTTTATTAGTATTCAGAGCAAAGAGAAATTTGAACTGAATACTAAATAAATACAGACTATTTTGATTTAAAATAAAGTTTTATTATAGGTTTAATTTAAGTTTTATTAGGTATTAAAATTAAAAAATTTTAACTCTTTTATGTAATATCTGTACTATTTGGTAATGCAGAGTAATGCGAAAGGAATCAAACAAAATAAACAAAAAATATTTAAAAGATTTCTTGAAACCTCGGACGCTTATAATTATTCCGGATGCTTTCAAAAAATCCCCCCGGACGTCCCCGGACGCTCTAAAAAAAGAGGACAGTGTCCGGGGAAAAGAGGACGGATAGCAACCCTACTCTCGCCCTATATACTGTGTCACAATTTTTGAGTTTCTTGTGAAAACTTATACACGGATTAAGAGGAAAAAATCTCATGTGATGCTTAAATACAACAGGGATTAAAAGAGAGGACCTGTGTCATATAACCGTTAAGGTTGAAGGCATATAGCTAGGCTTGCCCAGTCTCTCCATCCGGACAGACAATTAAAATAAATATATGTCGCAACAAAATTATTACGTTTCTCGTCTGACGTCATAAATCAATATGGCTGCAGCGAAAAATCCGAGCCGTAAGATGGATGAAATGCATGATTATTCGGTAATTATTTAGAATACTCCCATCACCTCTGATTTTGACAAATTTGGGCTTACTCCCATCACCTCTGATTTTGACAAATTTGGGCTCAATTGACGCGGTTTCGCTCAAAATAAAAGAATCTGATAAAAAAAATCCGGCAGTCTGCCTCGCGAGATATTAAGCGTTAAAGTTGATCACTTTTTGGTTAGAAAATCTGTCATAGCGACTCGATACAGCGCTAAAAAAGTGTTAAAAATAAAAGTATTGATATATTCAAAGTGCAAGATGC